GACAGAGAGACAGAAAGCGAGAAATCACCCCCCAGGGGGGATGGCCACGCCGCAATCCCTTCTCCTCCATTCTCCTCTTGGGATCTTGGGCATGCACGCACACGCACCTGGCGTGAGTTTTAAGCCACTGGATCCGGGATGCGAACCGTGATTGACTACGTGGGAGTCCAGCGACATAGCCATTACGCTAACTGCTGGTCCCCATATTAAACTTTTTTTTTAGGCTTTTGCCATAGGGCACACATGCTTGCTGGAGAGACAGAGGGAAAGTAAGAAATCACCCCCTGCAGGGGATGGCCATACAATCCCTTCTCCATTCTCCTCTTGGGATTTTGGGCATGCACACACCAGCATGATTTTCAAGCCACCAGGTCTAGGACTCAACAGTTGGCCATATGGGAGTCCAGCGCCTTAACCACCATGCCGCCTGCTGGCCCCAATAAACATTTCAAAAACACCAAAAATAAAAATGTAAAAGCTGGAATCAAATTTCAAGTCTCTGGTTGAGGAATCCCAGAATTACTTTTAAGAAACATGATTTAGGGACCATCAGATGGCATAATGGCTATGTCGCTGGACTCCCACCTAGTAGACTGCAGTCGAGTCCTGGACCCAGAGGCTAAAACTCATGCCAGGCACATGTGCGTGCGTGCCCAAGATCCCGAGAGGAGAGTGGAGAAGGATTGCTGTGTGGCCTTCCCCCCGGGGGGTGATTTCTCACTTTCTGTCTCTGTCTCTCCAGCAAGTGCCTGCACTCTATAGCAAAAATTTCTCTTCTTTAAACCACAGTTGCTAAGATGCAGAAATGGTTGTCAATGAGAAACCAAGTCCAGCCCTGTAGCCTAGTGGTTAGGAGAGCCAAATCCCACTGCAACCCCAGTGGTTCAAAGCACATGCCAAGAACGTGTGTGTGCGCCCAAAATCCACATAGGAGAAATGGAGATGGGATTGTAGCATGACCACACACACTGGGGGGGCTTTCTCTCTCTGGCAATCACATGTGCTCTCTGCCAACCACAAAAAAAAGAGTCGAGCCAACCCCTCTTACAACACCCAGGCCATGTGAGAGAAACCCCAAGGGTGAACGCTACCCAGGAATTAGGTGGTGTAGGCCCAGATGATGCCAGGCAGGTGGGAAGACAGTGCCCACCCCCAGCTAGGACGTGGCTGGTTCAGGCTACCTAGTTGGGCTGCCTGGCCCTGGCCCGTCTGGAGGAGAAATGCCAGCTCGACCGAGAAGGCGGTGCGGCCCTGAGATACGGCTGAGGTGAGCTGCTCCACAGGAAACAAGCATTCGGCCAGCAGCTACTTTCTGCCCCGAGCCACAGCTTGGCCCTAGCTTCTGCACCTGGAGCACAGTCCCAGGCAAGGCTCAGGGGGCCTGCACCGGGGTGGGGGACCACCTGGGATGCTCACCTGACATGGTGCAGGATCTCCTGGCACTGGTTGTGGTACTGCTGGAGCCAGGGCTTGAGCTGGGTGGGGGCGACCACCAGCAAAGGGCGAAACGGCTCTCCTAGAGATGCCTGAAATGACCACAAGACATCTCAATCAAAACGGGCTGCAGTGGCAGGGGGCGAAGCCAGCGGTGCGTAAACCAGGAAACCTGAGGAGCCTCGTGGGCAGCACTCACCAGGGCATGCTCTCTCTGCAGCAGGATGTTTAACAGGCCCTGGGAAGGACGAAGCAGACACGGGTTAGCGGGGGCCAAGCTCAATCTTCGTCCCCGTTAGGGTCTTGGAGTCCTCATCCTGCAGGATATCCAACCCTCTCACACGGCAGGAGGACGGGTGTGGTGCAGAGGGACCCATGCTGGAAAGAGGCATGGCTGGGAACCTAGCCCTCGCTGGGAGACCAAAGCAAGGGTCTTGCGGCCAGGTCTCCCACTCTAGCCCAGCTTTACTCAGAGGAGGGCAAAGTATGGCGAGGCAAGATGCAGGAAAAGGCAGGGAGGCCCAAACCATGACAGAAAGCAAAGCAAACATGATACTGAGCAGGAGGACTGCCTGAGGGTTGACAAGAGACCACTTCCCAGCAAGAGAGGAACGGCAAAAGCTCTGGGCTGCCTGGGCAGGACAGGAGGCAAGGAGAGCAGCCCACGGTGTAGACTACCGCAGTGTAGACTGCCTCCCAGCGAGTGCTCGCGGGGCTGGCCCAACACTCACAGTGTGGTGATCGGCGTGCAGGTGGGACACGAACACAGCCGCGAGGGTGGTCAGGACCCTGTCCACGTCATCTCCGTAATGGCGGCACAGCTGCCCAAACGTGCCTTCGCCACAGTCCAGCAGCAGAGACCTGTCGGAGCTGCAGAAGGGGGACAGTCACGGCAAGGGCGACGGCTGCAGATGGGCCAGAGGGCGTCTGCGGCAGAGGGCACGGGAAGCCGCTGTGGAAATGCCTGCCTCCACTGCCTCTGGGCTTGTCCTCTGAAACGCTGACATAAAAGCCCATTAGTTCAGCCATGAAGGCAATCTGAGATATGTCCATCTTCTTTATATGACAGAATTATCCACGGAACCCTGAAGCCTTTTAAATTACCTACACAAATGCTAGCATCCAAAAGAAATAAGAAGTGTGCTTAGACTAGGATGGCAAAAATACTGAGTCCTAGCGGCAAACCTCTGATTATTTGGCACTGGCACAGAGGAGACGGTTTCCAGTTGTGGTCACCGTGGGATCTGTTCCCCCCAGCGGTGCTGGCTCCCCAGTCCCTGCCCTCGAGGCCATCTGGTGCAGGAGCTGTGTGTGCTCCATCGGGAGCCGGTTAATGCAGCCTCCGGAGGTCCTCGAAACCGCTGATGTACTGGGTATATCAGGGCATGCGGAGATTCTGCCCTGACAGGCTCCACGGCCTATTCTTTTCTTTTTGTAGAGGTTTTTGCCTTAGGGCACATGCACTCACCAGAGAGAGAGAGAGAGAGACAGGGAAAGTGAGAAATCACCCCCCAGGGAGGATGGTCATAATGCAATCCCTTCTCCTCCATTCTCCTGGGATCTAGGGCACACACGGACATGTACCCGGTGTGAATTTCAAGTCACTAGGAGCCACTAGGCCATCTGCTGGCCCCTTCAGTCTACTCTGACACATGGTCTGTCTGGAAACTGCTCTAGGGTGGAGAGTGCTGTCCCCTCCTGGTCTTCCTGTTCAGGAGTAGCCTGGGAGGGCTGAACCCATCTGGCAGAGAGGAGCCTCAGTACTGCAGTGGGGCGGGCGAGCTGCCATTAAGAGCACCTGGAGGGCCATCGTCGGGGCTCTGGGATCAGCACCCAGGGAAGTGTTCTTCACCAGGCATCTCGGCCCCAGAAGAGGCCAGCCCACGCTGAACGCTTCACTGCACATCGTCAGAAAAACTCGACCCGAATTTGTGTATTTCTGGTATCGGGGTGCACCTTATTATCACTGTGCGTGTTCACTACATTATGTGTCACCCGCCACTACCCTCTAAGGTGAAGAAAAATCGGAAAACGAATGATGCTTTCTAAGCTGGTCCCCTTCACACAGATCCCAGAGGTACTGTGAGCACGTCACTGTACCTTGGCCTGACTCATCTCTGCAGTTACACGGCCCCAGGCAAACCCGACACAATCAGCTAAAAACACATCAAAGGGAACCCAATAAAGACACCGAACGCAAAGCAAGTGTACATACCCCAACGCGCTTTTGTTTTGTTTCTTTGAGAGAGATTTTTGCTATTGGGCGCATGTACTCGCTAGAGAGACGGAAAGCAAGAAATCACCCTTCAGGGATGATGGTCATGCCACAATCCTTTCTCTCCATTCTCCTCTCAGGATTATGGGCACAAATGCACACGTACTCAGGGTGAGTTTCAAGCCACAGGGTCCAGGACTTGAACCATGGTTGACTACATGGGAGTCCAGTGACTTAACCATTACACTACCTGCTGGTCCCACCCAAAAGCTTTTTAACAGGGAGAATACAATGTTGCCATTAAAACACCTGTCCAGATTTCAGACCTGCTCCTTACCAGCTGTGGAACTACAGCAGGAACCCGAGTATCAATAAAACGTGTTTGTTCATAAGTCAATACGACAGAGGAGTAATATGAAAATTAAGTGAGACCATTTCTTAGTGAGGTGCACTGTGACCCCCAGTAGCATGGTAGTTGGGATGCTGGACTCCCACGTGGTTGACTGTAATTCAGGTCCCGGACCTGGCGGATTGCTTTCTCACTTTCCTTCTCTGTCTCTCTCTGGTTAAATTAAGATAATAGTAATAAAAATAAATCTTAAAAAAAAAAAAAAAAAATGGGGCACCAGCAGGTGGCATGGTGGTTAAGGCGCTGGACTCCCACATGGCCGACCACTGTTTGAGTCCTGAACCTGGCGGCTTGCTTTCTCTCGCTCTCTCTTGCACATGCCCTATAGCAAATTAAAATAATAATAATAATAAATAAAATTAAATGTATAGTTATTTTTAAAAAACCTGAAAACAAACAAACAAACATAAGGTGGCCAGCCTTTGGCCTGCTGGTGAAGACAGCTGGATCCCACATGGCTGGGTGGTGTAAGGACCAGACCTGGCAGCTTGAAAAATACTCTGAGCGCATGTACCCAGAATCCTGAAAGGAGGAAAACGAGAAGGAACTGTACTCGTCATTCTCCATGAGGGGTGCTTTCTTACTTTCCTTCTCTTTCTTTGTCTCTACTGAGAGCACACATGCCCTCTGGCAAATTAAAAAGAGAAAAGAATAAATGAAGGAATTTTGGGGATTTTTGGAAAGACAAATTAGCTATCGCGGCTACAAAATGCAGTCACAGCCAACGTGACAAACTTACACAGGGATTCTGTGCTGCTGCATTTCCGACTACCTTGTTGAACCAGCAGGCTGCTCTGGGACAGAGGAAAAGCGGCCATACCTTATGTTGACCAGGGTGGCGCTGACGTTTCGAATCTTCATCGGGATGGCAGACCCTGTTCCAAGGAAGATGATTTCTGGGTACTGGCTTCTTGTCTCTGCGGAAAGATAACATGTAAAACAGGCTATTTTGGAGGGGGGTCAAAAGTGAGCCATGAAATGGGTAAGCAATGCATGAAGCCCAGCTTCCCAGCCGGGGCCCCCACCTCTTCATCAGTGAGACCCAAAGATGTTACAAGGAAAGGGCTGCCAGAGGCAGGGTGACAGCCCCGCGACTCACACTGTGAGACTGACCCCGCAGGCAGGCTGCTGGCTTATCTGGGCACATCCCCGGTGCAGCACATGTCTGCTTTTGATCCAGGGCTGGCTGGAGCTGGGGGTGGATCGTGGTGTTGAGCCCCTGTTGAGTGCTCTGTCTCTCTCGCTCATGGAAGAAATACATTTTTTTTAAATTGCCTTTTTTAATGTCAAGGACTTAGAACCATTCTTTTCCTTTTAAAGGACTATATAATTTATTTGCTCGCCCTCTCAGACAGCTTTAAATTTTCTTTAAAAAAAAAAAAGTTATTTCTTTGTGCCATGAGAAAAAGACAGAGACATAACACCCCCCAAGAGGTCTTTGCCCCGCAGCTAGGCCCAGATGATGGGCACATGTGTGCCCGGGATGCTCAGGGTACCTTCTCTTGTGGGAGAGCCTTGAGGGACAGTGCAGGTTACCACTGTGCCACCATCTTGGGCTCCTCCCAAAAAGGGCTTCTTCATGCTATGAATCATCACTTACTTCAAGGGGGACTTCTCCTTGCATTCAGCTCTTACTGCAAGACCATACACTTTGCATGTACCCTTCCCATTCTACCAGGCAGGAAACGTCCCACTTTACAGAGAGGAAACAGGCTCAAAGGACCAGCTTTCCACAGAAATAACAAGAGGCACAGCCAGGGTTCAAACCCAAGGGGACCTGGTGAACCCGAAGCGTCTCTTGCTCAGACTCACCTACCCTGACAGGCCCAGATGCATGTCTGCAAGCACCCCCACACATCAGAAAACCAGTCTTCAACAGAAAGGGAAGCAACCCCTGGGAAGTCAGTCTTCCCAGAACACACACGGGACGACTGTTGGAGAAGGAGGTAAAGATGTGGCCACCTCTGCCCGTGCCTGGTTTCAGCTCCCAGAGAGACACGAATTTGGCAAAAGATCTTTTGGCTAGATTAAAACCCCCAGCCCACCCTCTATCCCGGCGTTCTATCACTAGTCAGAAATAACAGTATGAAAACCAAAGGCCTCAGCAGGCCACGTGGGTCCCCAACTACGATGGACTGATGAAACCCAACGAGGTGAGTGACTTGGCCAAAATGGTCCACAGATAACTTACCACCCAGGACTAGATCCCATGTCAGCCGAGCCCCATTCAGAGTTCTTCCCAGAGCCTCATGGATGTTCCCAGAATGGTTTCACTCAGTGTGTGCTTTTAAAGAGTGAGGGCCTTCACAAAACACTCAGACTTAATTGGTCGGGGATGGGGCACAGGCATCAGGAATCCTGACCCTCTCAATGGCTGTAACGCTAATGGAGAGCCAGAGTAGAGCAGCCCTGGATTAAGTAAGTGACTCACGTCAGAACACGCATGGTTGACACTCTAGTAGTGCTAGAGAACACCTGCAGGAGGGCAGAGCCCAAGGCTGCTCCGTGGTCTGCGAGCCGGATCTCACCTGCAGGGGCTGGGCTGTCCTGTGCACTCTTCCTGTACTCCTGCACGCTCTCCTGGAAATTGGGAAGCTCCAGGGCCTCAGCTATGAACTCCTCAGGATTGCAAGTAATGATGGCATCCCTGGAAGAAGAGAAACAGCACAGGTGACCAATGGTGTGGCAGGTCCATGGCCTCAGTACACACCAGTCTGGATACCCAGTGCGAGTTCAGGGGATAATCACTAAGTTCTTCCATGGCCAAGCTGGGGACAGTTCTGTTCCTCAGGATGACTCCCAGCCTCCAAACTGGGCAGTCCTGGTGCTTGAGGCCGAATTCTTTCTTCGTGGTGAGGGCTGTCCCTGTAGCATCCCCACCCTCTACCCATCAGCACCACTGCTCACCACCCTAGGCTGTGACAGCTGAAAATGTCTACAGACACTGGCCAGTGTCCCCTGAGTGGAGGGGAAAATGGCCCTAGCCGAGAAGCAACTCTCACACTAATGTGCTCATAGCTAAGCCCTGGGGAATCCTGTCCAAGTGCTGACCCTACCGCTCTGGGGTGGAGCCTTGCTAGCAAGCCCCAGGGGACGCTGGTATTGCTAGTTCTGACCACAGTGAGTAGGGGTGCTGGGGACTCTTCAACCTGGCTCAGCACTGAAATCACTTGGGAGCTTACAGAGTGAGTTCGAAGCCTAACTCTTGAAAATTCTAATTCACCAGATCTGGGGCAGACTCCAAGAACTGTATTCTTCTGGGTCAGCAGAATACTACGGAACATGATCTATTCTCATATGCCATTACAGAGCAGACAGGACGCTGAAAAACGATTCAAGATCCAGGTCTTAAAAACTGAAAGGCTTCGGGTTTAACATGGTGGTTAAGGCGCTGGACTCCCATATGGCTAACTGTGGTTTGAGTCCTAGACCTGGTGGCTTCCTCTCTCACTCACCCCCTGAGCCCTGTGAGTAAATATATCCTATGGCAAACTTAAAAAAATAATAATTATGAATAAATTTTTAAAAAAATTTAATGTGGAAATAAATGCAAAGGACCATTTAAAAAAAATCAAAAGGCTTTGTAATATATTTGAGGTTGGGCAGTGAGATGCCTCCAACTTGATCCTCTTTTCTAAGTATTGCCTCGGTGAAGGTTAGCGCACCTGACTTGTTCTTTGTCTCCTCCATCTCCATTTTTAATTTTGCTTTTAAAATTTTTAAACTTCTTAGGTCTCTGCTGCTCTTCTGTCTTGTTAATTCCTACCTTCCCCCTTTTCCCACAGGACAAGCCAATCAGCAGCCATGTGTGTTTGAGTTCTGAGCAGCCATTTGCATGTTTTATGACAAAACTTTTTTTCTTTTTTTCCTTGTTTTTGTCTTTTTTTATTTTTATTTATTTTTTTCTTTTTTGTGTGGAGAGGTTTTTGCTATAGGGAGCATGTGCTTGCCAGACAGAGGGACAGAGAGACAGAAAGCGGGAAGTCACCCTCCAAGGGGGATGGCCACACCGCAATCCCTTCTCCTCCATTCTCCTCTCGGGATCTTGGGCATGCACACACACGTGCCCAGCGTGAGTTTAAGCCACTGGGTCCAGGACTCGAACCAAAGTAGACTACATGGGATTCTAGCGACATAGCCATTATGCCAACTGCTGGTCCTGATATGTTTCTTTTTAATGCATCCTCTACACACTAATTAAAAAACACAAAATGTTAAGCTGGCCTGACATGCCTAGTAGTTAAAGGAGACAGTTCCACATGGCTGACCACACGGTTCAAATCCTAGCCCCGGCTCCTTAGAAAACATATGCAGCATGTGTATGTACATGCCCTAAACCCCCAGGATGGAGAAATGGAGAAGTAACTGCAGCAGCATCACACCCCACTGGGTGGTGCTTTCTCCCTCTCCTCCCTCTCTGTCTCTCTCCGGTGAGTACACATAACTCTCTGGCAAATTAAACACACACACACACACACACACACACACACACAAAAAAAAAAACACAAATGAAATGTCAGCAATCTATATGTCTGTGTGACAGTAATACAGGTGGCTTTCTTCATCTTAGTTTTCTTTTTTTTATTTTTTTGTAGAGGTTTTTGCTATAGGGTGCGTGCACTCGCCAGACAGACAGAGAGAGACATAGAGACAGAAAGCGAGAAATCAACCCCCAGGGGGGATGGTCACGCTGCAATCCCTTCTCTTCCATTCGAACCATGGTCGACTACGTGGGAGTCCAGCGACACAGCCATTACGCTAACTGCTGGTTCCCGATCTTGGGTTTCTTATTTCTTTGGATTTTTCTCTGCAAAAATATGTCATCACTTTCCCAATGACCTAACATGTCATAAATAAATTACTATTACCATGAAATACAACTTCAGAAAAGGATAATTACTGACCCTGATCCAACCACCTCAATCTGGACTAAGACTGGGCACTAGCAACAGAGACCAGGGCCCGAAAAGCCTCTTGGAACATCTATCTGGCCACGTTCAGCAAGTTCCCGGCCCTGGTCTACTGACTCCACGGGTTCAAACCTCACAGACCTCTGCCACTCACGCCGGGGCCGGAGCTGATACTTGAGGAGGCATTCGCCCCGGACCGTGGGCACACTGAATGTGGGGCCTTCTTCCTGAAAGAGACGGGGACACACTCCATGAGACACAGGAGAAGACAGGAGTGGAGGGGCAGGGGACGGCGCTGGGTGACACTACCTTGCACTGGAAGCTGGTGAGCGGGGGGAAGATGTCTGGGTGGATGAGGTTGAGCTGTGTCTGAATCTTGTGGCTGCGAAGGTTGTGAACCGATGCACAGTTCTCGTTCAGGATCAAGTGCTGGGTGTCAGGCCCGAACCTGAGGCAGGACAGACCAGCACGCACTGACAGCTCCACTCGGGGTGGTGCGAGAGGTGGGGAGCAATAATGCAGACGGCCATGCTTGAAGACTTACGTGATGTGCCCCCAAATAGGTACTGAATGGCCCAAACAAAACCCTGCTTCTGTCTGAAAGCCCCTTTCTCTCCCTTCCTCAGCTACCTTTGGGGTGTGTTGGAAAACGTGCTAGAAAAATCAAGAAAATCTATAATGTTCGGGGCCTACAGGCAGGAATTTGAAAGCAGGATTGAGTATGGGAGAGAAGAAGGAAAGATGAAAAAGGAAAACAGATCATGTACACTAAGGCTCAGATAAAAGGAGCGAAAGACAGAGAGCTTGAAGATGAGAGAAGAGACCAAGGGAGCTAGGGCGGTGGGAACAGGAGCCAAGGCAGCAGGGCAAGCCAAGGCCACCACACGCGTGGGTTCAACTCTTCCACTGGGGACAGCCTAGGCCAGTGAAGCCAGAGGTAAGCAGAAAGAGCCCTCTCTCCTAGTCACTGAGCTGGGGAGAATGGCTGCCTCCGGGGTTGCTGGGAAGAATAAACTAGAGATCAGTGCAGAACAGCTAACATTCTGCCCACATGGAATGGCATCGCCACTGTTGTTCTGTTCTTCCAAGGCTCCCCTTTAAGATACACGTGTGAAACCACCAACCAACGTGTGTTCAGACATGGAGCGTGGAGGCTGTAAAGCGGGTGAGCGTAAGCCCTAGAATGTGGGACGTGTGCGCACTGCGCCACCTGGTGGTGGTTCTCTTCAAGTGTGAGAGAGATCTGTGCTCCCAGAATTCAGGGGGCAGGAATCCCAGAGAAGGCTGAGGCAGGGGCAGGCCTGAACGGAAGGGAGACAGGAATGCATCACAGCCCGGAGCTGCCCAAGGGCTGCTGGGCTCCTCACCTCTCCATCCACTGCTGGTACCTGCCGTCCACAAGCACAGATTCTGGGGCCATGTGAACCACCAGGGCCACAGGAGTTTCGGTCTGTCCTTGGTACCTGGTGAAGGAAGAGCGACGTGGCTTTACAAAGTGACATAAACTCAGGACATGCACAAACGAGGCCTGCACGGCCAGGGGCGCAGCTCAGCGCTCTGCAGGACTGCAATGACTGACAGCCTCCGTGCCCAGGCCATGCTGGGCTCCTCAGAGCCATGCTGGAGTACGGTGGGCCCAGTGCTTGGCTGCTCGACACGGGGTCGACCCTTAGGGGAGCTCTGCTCTGCGCCTGCCTGCTATGCAGACCAGGGGTCTTCTGTCCTCTCCATCCACAGGGGCCAGGCAGGACAATGGCACCCCCTGCGCCTGCTCCCTCTTTCCTGGGCATTCCCTCCACTCGGTCTCCCGCACTTCCAACTGCACCTTGGTGTCTGCCTTCCAGAGCACCTGCCACCAGGGTATGGAGAATGAGGATCAGGGCTAGCCCTGCAGTGCTGCAGTTAAGAGCTGCACAGAGGGAACCAGATCCCATGTGGCAGACCAGGGTTCAAGTCCTGGCTCCAGGGGTTTGACAAACACACTGGGTGTGCATTCCCAGATCCTGACAGGACAGAGGAGTGGAGGAAAGAGGACTGCAGCCTGACTAGGTTCCACCAGGGGGATGCTTTCTCCCTTTCTCTCCCTCTCCCCACCCTGCCCCTTCTCATGCACACACATGCCCTCTGGCATTAAAGAAAGAAAATCACCTCACCCTCTACCATCTAGAGAGATCATTTACTGACACACTGACGTGTTTCCTTCCAGTTCGCTTTTAAAAAGAATTTGCTTCTCCCCTACCACTACATCAATGGATGAACCAGCTCTCAGATGGTACCTCGGTCAGTGATAAAGTATAATAGTGCTGTCACCTGAAAGCCAGATCCCCACAGAGAGTACCATGGGCCCAGGGAGCACTCGTAACACTGACTTGGAACAGCCACAGCAGCCCAAGGGGACTTGTGTCATTGGAACGGAACAGTCAGTGACAAAGTACAGATCTACAAAAATCAGGGACAGAAAACAATATAAACCATTAAGGGTGGGGGAAAATGAAAACATAGACACGTGGGTCGAAGATTCTACCCAGGATTAAAGCTGACCTGCCTCTTTATTGGAGGAAAAAAAATGATGCTATTTGGGTCTAAAGATGTCCCCAGATCTTTGACCAAGACCGTCTCAAACGCTCTGACCTACCTCTTTTGTTTTAGTGCAAGCAGGTGAAGGAAAGTCATTTAGTTTATCAAAATAATCCCAACGGTGACTTAGAGCAGTAATTACAATTTAAGAAAGTTCTAGAACCTGTTCTAACTTAGACCTCTGAGAGTTTCACTTCGAGGCTGTGTACACCACCAAGCTCTTCGAACACCAACAGTGACTGAGGTACACTCTGCCAGGACTGACCCGCGGTTTTTCAAACCAGGCCACAGGTTGCCCAGAGATGCAGCCCTACCCATCCACGTGATGGCTCGGTGGGCTTCCGGGGCAGTGCACCAGCTCAGTCTCCCCGCCAGGACCCCACGTTACCTCTTAAAGGTGGCGTTCTCACAGATGGGTTGGATGAATCGCTCGTCTGGACATTCTACCACAACAAAAGCAAGGCCAGGATCCGGGGGAGTACAGATCTCTTCAGGTAAAATCTGCAAAATCAAGTAAGCCAGCTCAGTGCTATGAGCACAGCAGTGGTGAGGCACCTTCGGCTCCGGCACTGCCACCACAAGCCCTTAGGCGGCCAGCCCACAGAGCTACGCAAAGCGCAAAGCCCGCTCATCACTCCCACCCTCCTGCCCTCTCCGGGAATACTCAGACAACTGGCCCACAGAGCTACTTTAAACCTACAGTGGCCAATGAGGCGTGGGAGTCAAGGCTCCCTGTAGCTTGGGGCCATGCATCCTAATGTTCTTTTCTTTATTATTTTATTTATTTACTTATGTTTTAAATTTCACCAGAGAGAGACACAGAGAGAAAAAGAGAGAGAGGCAAAGTGGGAGAGCAAGCTGCCAGGTCTGGGACTTGAACCAGTTGGCCATGTGGGAGTCCAGCACCCTTAACCACCACACTACCTGCTGGTCCCCACCCTAATGTTCTTAGACATCACAGAAAACATCCCATTGGTGAAGGCAGTGGAGGACAGGTCCCTTAGCACAGGAGTGAGGCACTGCAGGAGGAGGTTGAATCCCACATGGCTGACCAGGATTTGAGTCCCTGCCCTGTCAGGCCACACCTGTGTTTGGGGTGCACAGGTGTGCCCAGAACACCTCTGGAATGCAAAATTAGAGGCAAAAGATTGAAGTGTGAGACATCCTATTGGGGGGTGCCTCTGCTTCCTCCCCACTCCCTGCACATGAGCCGTGTGGAATTTAAAAGAAAAAAAAAATGGATTTCCCCAGGCCACACATGAAAGCCATCCATATGGGGTCGACTGCTGGGCCCTGCTCTGAGCTCCAGTGCAAAGATAAGCATCCATCCTATTAATAGGCCCACCAGATCCTAAATGGACAATCTACAGAATGCCCAAGCCCTGTGGTGTTGATCTGCAGAACGTGTCTGGAGCAGAGATCCCATTCTACTGCTTAGCCGAGTAATGGAGCTCTGTCCTGCTTCCTTTAAAAGTGGTGTCCGTAGGGCCCGAACCAGTGACGGTGCGATGTTCTAGGCCCTCCCTGTAACAGCTGAGTTATCATGAAGAGATAAGGAGCCCAGCCCCTTACCTCTCTTCCTTCGTAAGTGACACTTTTCCCGTCCTTGACAGCAGCAATGATGGGAGCAATGGCCGCCGTCCCGCTGAAAGAGAGGCCGGTTCTCTGTGAGATGCGTTCCTGTAACACAGGCTCACAGCCCAGCCCCAGCGCCTTGCCCACTTACACTGGAAGGCCCAGTTCCTTTGCTTTGAGCACCAAGAAGTTTCCTTTCTTCAAGTGCAGCTGTAACAAAAAGAATATCAATGAACTCTGTGGCCATTGAAAGTGCTGTTTTTGGGGGTTTTCTTTAATTTGCTAGAGGGCGTATACACTTCCCGTGAGACAGACAGAGGGGGGACAGTGAGAGAGAGAGGAAGCACTTCCCCTCAGCAGGGGAAGGTCATGCTACAATCCCTTCTCCTGTAATCTCCTCCTGGGGTTTTGGGTGCACAGGCACATGTGCCCGGTTTGAATTTTAAGCCAGCACTTGAACCGTGGTTAGCCATTTGCAGTCCAGCACCTTAACTGCTATGCCACCTGCTGGACCCTAACTATTTTCTTAACACCCACTGAAATGCAGCTTACTGCTTTAAAAGGTATATTCTGTTCTGAGGAGACTACTTCGAAATGCTTTAGTACTAAATCCTGAAGGATTTAAAACACATTGCTTTATTTCCCAACATGAACTCACAATAAAAGGTAACTCATTTCGATATGGAAGTTGCTAAGTATCCCTGAAGTATCCTTGAGCAGAAGCACTAGTCTATCATTCAACACCCCTCAGGCAATAACCAAGGCGGGCCAGATGACGGTGTGGCTGCCACACGACGACACTCACGGGAAAGGTCCACACACATGTGCCTGACGTGTTTCTCAAGCTGCTGGGTCTGGGACTAGAACCACACTGTAGGCCGTGCCGGAGTACAGATCTCTTCAGGTAAAATCTGCAAAATCAAGTAAGCCAGCTCAGTGCTATGAGCACAGCAGTGGTGAGGCACCTTCGGCTCCGGCACTGCCACCACAAGCCCTTAGGCGGCCAGCCCACAGAGCTAGGCAAAGCGCAAAGCCCGCTCATCACTCCCACCCTCCTGCCCTCTCCGGGAATACTCAGACAACTGGCCAACAGAGCTACTTTAAACCTACGGTGGCCAATGAGGCGTGGGAGTCAAGGCTCCCTGTAGCTTGGGGCCATGCATCCTAATGTTCTTTTCTTTATTATTTTATTTATTTACTTATGTTTTAAATTTCACCAGAGAGAGACAGAGAGAGAAAAAGAGAGAGAGGCAAAGTGGGAGAGCAAGCTGCCAGGTCTGGGACTTGAACCAGTTGGCCATGTGGGAGTCCAGCACCCTTAACCACCACACTACCTGCTGGTCCCCACCCTAATGTTCTTAGACATCACAGAAAACATCCCATTGGTGAAGGCAGTGGAGGACAGGTCCCTTAGCACAGGAGTGAGGCACTGCAGGAGGAGGTTGAATCCCACATGGCTGACCAGGATTTGAGTCCCTGCCCTGTCAGGCCACACCTGTGTTTGGGGTGCACAGGTGTGCCCAGAACACCTCTGGAATGCAAAATTAGAGGCAAAAGATTGAAGTGTGAGACATCCTATTGGGGGGTGCCTCTGCTTCCTCCCCACTCCCTGCACATGAGCCGTGTGGAATTTAAAAGAAAAAAAAAATGGATTTCCCCAGGCCACACATGAAAGCCATCCATATGGGGTCGACTGCTGGGCCCTGCTCTGAGCTCCAGTGCAAAGATAAGCATCCATCCTATTAATAGGCCCACCAGATCCTAAATGGACAATCTACAGAATGCCCAAGCCCTGTGGTGTTGATCTGCAGAACGTGTCTGGAGCAGAGATCCCATTCTACTGCTTAGCCGAGTAATGGAGCTCTGTCCTGCTTCCTTTAAAAGTGGTGTCCGTAGAGCCCGAACCAGTGACGGTGCGATGTTCTAGGCCCTCCCTGTAACGGCTGAGTTATCATGAAGAGATAAGGAGCCCAGCCCCTTACCTCTCTTCCTTCGTAAGTGACACTTTTCCCGTCCTTGACAGCAGCAATGATGGGAGCAATGGCCGCCGTCCCGCTGAAAGAGAGGCCGGTTCTCTGTGAGATGCGTTCCTGTAACACAGGCTCACAGCCCAGCCCCAGCGCCTTGCCCACTTACACTGGAAGGCCCAGTTCCTTTGCTTTGAGCACCAAGAAGTTTCCTTTCTTCAAGTGCAGCTGTAACAAAAAGAATATCAATGAACTCTGTGGCCATTGAAAGTGCTGTTTTTGGGGGTTTTCTTTAATTTGCTAGAGGGCGTATACACTTCCCGTGAGACAGACAGAGGGGGGACAGTGAGAGAGAGAGGAAGCACTTCCCCTCAGCAGGGGAAGGTCATGCTACAATCCCTTCTCCTGTAATCTCCTCCTGGGGTTTTGGGTGCACAGGCACATGTGCCCGGTTTGAATTTTAAGCCAGCACTTGAACCGTGGTTAGCCATTTGCAGTCCAGCACCTTAACTGCTATGCCACCTGCTGGACCCTAACTATTTTCTTAACACCCACTGAAATGCAGCTTACTGCTTTAAAAGGTATATTCTGTTCTGAGGAGACTACTTCGAAATGCTTTAGTACTAAATCCTGAAGGATTTAAAACACATTGCTTTATTTCCCAACATGAACTCACAATAAAAGGTAACTCATTTCGATATGGAAGTTGCTAAGTATCCCTGAAGTATCCTTGAGCAGAAGCACTAGTCTATCATTCAACACCCCTCAGGCAATAACCAAGGCGGGCCAGATGACGGTGTGGCTGCCACACTACTACACTCACGGGAAAGGTCCACACACATGTGCCTGACGTGTTTCTCAAGCTGCTGGGTCTGGGACTAGAACCACACTGTAGGCCGTGCTGGATCCAGCTCCTTAGCCACCACGCCACCAGCTGGCCCTGTTTACAGTGTTTAAATGGTACTTGCAAACCTAAGGCAGAGGAAACTGTCTCTCCAAGGGCTAAACTCAACCCGTGGAGATTTGTTCGCCTGAGGAATGCAGAGCATTTAGATGAGAACCAGATGCAAGCCAGGAAGGCCCTGACCAGCACAGCAGCTGCCCGAGACCCGCACTCTCCCATTGGATGAGATTCCAGGCTCCCATGTCAAGAGCCTAGTTTCTCTGACCTCCCAGAATTTGAACAAGCTCAGCCTATAGCTCTCCAAAACCATAGCTGAGAAGCAGGAAATTAACCGGAAGAAAAGAAGGGGGGCTACAGGCTGACCCAGTGAGAGCAGCCCTCAGCAGCAGCATAGGGAGGAGCCAGAGAAGTCAGGCAGCAGCCTGCAGCCACAGCGTCAGGGCCAGCAGGCCCCAGGAACAGCTGCCTGGCAGCGCTCAACTGCCGGGGCACGAGAGCGCGAGGCCTCGCTTCATTCTGTTCAAGTCATCTATTCAGGAAGCAGGAGACCACAGAAAACAGAGAGGGCCAGCAGGTGTCATGGTGCTTAAGGCAGAGGAGTCCCACATGGACAACCACAGTTCTAGTCCCAAATTTGGAAGCCTGAAAATAACATTGGGAACAGGTGTGTGCGTGCCCAAAGTCCTAGAGGACAATGGAGGAGAAAGGACTGCGGCATGGCCATCCGCCCTTGAGGGTGATTTCTCACTTTTCCTCTCTCTCTCCAGTAACCTAAAAAAAAAATCATTTTGTTGTCTAAAAATGCAGAAACACAAATAAGAAGTCTATTTATAATAGTACTTAACCTTCATAAAACTCACAATTATTATTTGGATAAACTGATAGAAATGATTTGGCAATAGTATTGACCTTTCATAACTGTTTTTGTCATTTGTAGGCATTAGAATTTGAATAAAAATTCCAAATATATTTTTAAACCAATGTTAAATCTTTAAAGAAAAAAACCCAAGCCTGCCAAAGGATAATAGAGTGTTACCCAAGATCAAAAAAAGTATTTGTTGCAAATTACATAAAAATAAAATTTTACTGCCAATTAAAAATAAGCCATTAGATGGGATTGGCAGGTGGCGCAGTGATTAAGGGCCCTAGAATCCCACATGGCTGACCACGGTCTGAATCCTGAACCTGGCAGCCTGCTTTCTCACTTTCCCTCTCTCTCTCATTCTGTCCCTCTCTGGTCAAATTAAAATAAATAAATAAATAAATAAATAAACATTAAAAATTAAATAAAATAATTGTTAGGAAAAGAATTATTAAAAATAAGCCATTAGAAGTTTTAGTAGAATTTGACCAATCTAGAATTGCAGAATCTAAAGCCTTTGTGAATGTTAATATTGAAATCAATTTGATGTTTAACTACTGTATGATAGAGGCATGCAATACAATAAGAACTGAAAGAATGTGGGGTCAGCAGGTGGCACAGCAGTTAAGACGCTGGACGCCCATGTGGCTGACTGAGGTTTGAGTCCCAGACCCAGTTGCTTGAAACTCCCGCCAGGCATGTGCCCAAAGTCCTGAGAAGAGAATGGAGGGGAAGGGATTGTGGCATAGCCATGCCCCTAGAAAGATGATTTCTCACTTTCTTTTTTTATCATTCTAGTGAGTACATGCGTCCTATAGCAAAGATCTCTCAATAAAAAAAAGAGAAAAGAATGAAAAGAATGTGAATAAAGGCCCAACAGATGCAAACAGAAATGAACACAGTTGCCTTTAACTGTGAATTCCAACAGAGCCAATGATAAGCAAATATAAAAAACCATATACCTAGACTGACAAAGCACTGAAAGAGAATTTAAAAGTATATAAATGGGAGCTGGCAGGTGGCGTGGTGGTTAAAGCACTGGACTCCCACATGGCCAACCACGGTTCAAGTCCTGGACCTGGTAGCTTGCTTTCTCACTTTCCCTCTCTCTGTTTCTCTTTGGTCAAATTAAAAAAAAAAAAAAATGCTAATAACAAATAAAGTAATTCTTTCTTTAAAAAAACTATAGGGACCAGCAGTTGGCATGATGGCTATGTCGCTGGACTCCCATGTGGTCAGTCGTGGTTTGAGTCCTGGACCCGGTGGGTTAAACTCACACTGGTCGCGTGTGTGTGCGTGCCCAAAATCCTGAGAAGAGAATGGAGGAGAACGGAATGTGGTGTGGCCATCCCTCCCCCCGGGGGGTGATTTCTCACTTTCTGTCTCTCTGTCTCCTAGCAAAAACCTCTCCAAAAAACACAAAACACAAAACAAAATCTATATAAACGTACATTTGGTATTTTGACAAATAATAGTATCAATGGCTCAGTCACAGGCAACCTGGAAGCTACACAGGAAGCCAGGATTCAGTTTCCAGGCCAAGGGCTGCTGGGCTCCTCACGATCTGGGAGGCAGGGCAGGAGATTGGCGATACTGGCAAGACCCTGTGAAAAATACCAATCTGGGGGACAGCCCTGCAGCCTAGTGGGTGAGGGAACCAGATTCCACGTGGCTGACTGCAGTTCAGCCTTGGTAGCTTGAGAAACAAGCCGGGCACATGGGCCTTTGTGCCGGAAATCCTGACAGGACGGAGGAAAGGGGACCGCAGTGTGACCATGCCCATCCAGAGTACTTTCTCCTTCTCTGTGTCTCTGTGCCCTCTGGCAATGAAAAAATAAATCCGTCTCTCTTCTTTTCACTGTCATTTTCTCATGACTTTTCTTCTTTTTAATTAAAGAGGGTATCTGTTGTTTCTAAACACAGGTAACAGGAACTGCTACAAAGAGGTCTTCAAAAAGGTTATGGAAAATGTGCATTATTAAAATAGATTTAATAAGATTGACTTTTTTGGCACCAAAACAAACTCAAACTTTAATTCCACTTTTCCATGAACTTTTCTAAGTCCCCTCACACCTTCGAATCACTGGGAGTGCTAAGCTAAGGCAGCCGCTGCCCCGCACTCCAGCCCCCCCGCATGCCCGCTCGCTCGCAGTGCCCCAGCAAGGCGCTTACCTTACAGATGAAGGCCACGACCAAGGAAGGGTCCCTGCCAGTTGACTTCCGGCCAAGATCTGAGGGAATACACATTTGATTACAGCAAAGTCAACATGCGGGCTGCAGAGGTTTCCTAGACTAGTATCGCCTAAAACCTGACTTCATGTCTCATAAAAATTGAATGGACAGAATCACGCCCCCGGGGCTCCTTGGGCCGCGCAGGGAAGGCCATGATGGGGTGAGCCTGGGTCCTTGCCCGGTTTCCCTAGCAATGGTCTCAGGAACAGACTGTCACCTAGAGATCTGTCTGATTCTGTGGGGTCTGGACCGCTATTTCCTAACTCATAAGGCCTTGAAGCCTGGTTGACCCGCATGTTTCATGGACCAATCACGTAAGAGTTAACTAGTCATGAAGAACTGTCACTATAATGACAAAAATCAAAAAGATTATGTTTTGGGACCAGTGGGTGGCATGGTGGTTAAGAAGCTGGACACTCTCACATGGCCAACCACGGTTCAAGTCCTGGACCTAGTGGCTTGCTTTCTCACTTTCTCTCTCTCTCTCTCTCTCTGTCGTCAAATTAAAATGAATGAATGAATAAATAAAGTTAAATAAATAACTCTTTAAAAAAATATATATTGTTTTTGTGAAGTCCAATGGCCTTCACTTAAAATCTATGGAAAATTTGCCATCTTGTATATCTTTTAAAGTATGTATCTTATCAAACAATTTTATTACAGATATCCATCCACTTCAAAGCTGTATAAAATGAATCAAACTTGATCTCCCTGAAAATCGGATAAAGAACCTACCACATATCAAATTTTGGAGTGGAATGAAGACCTTAAAACGTCTCTATCTTCATGACAATGGGTTTGCAAAGCTAAAGAACATATGTGTATTGATCTGCCTGTCCAAATCTCATTGCCCTCACTCTGTTTGATTGTCCAGGAAGCCTTAACAAAGGACACAGACATGTTCTTGTTACCAGCCTATGGCCTCTCAGAACACTAGATCATCTGTGATTTCTTTTTTTTTTTTCTTTTTTTGGAGAGGCTTTTGCTATAGGGCGCATGCACTCGCCAGATAGACAGAGACAGAGAGACAGAAAGTGAGAAATCACCCCCCAGGGGGGGTGGCCACACTGCAATCCCTTCTCCTCCATTCTCCTCTCGGGATTTTGGGCACACACACACACATGCCCGGCGTGAGTTTAAGCCACTGGGTCCAGGACGCGAACCGCGGTCGACTACGTGGGAGTCCAGCGACATAGCCATTACGCTAACTGCTGGTCCCGATCATCATGTGATTTCTGATGAAGAAATAATTCAAAGCTGGCATCTTCCAGAAAGATTCAAAACATGTAACCGCAGACTTTTCTTTCATTTCTGCCCTGCTTTGAGAAAGGTACCTAGGCTCACTGGGATTTAGGTTTAAATAAATTTATAGAAGTAAAAATTTGCTTTTAAATTCTTTAACTATATAAACACTTTGCTATTCTGCAGTTACATGAAATACAAATCAGTGAATGTATAGCTGTGGCTTTATATCTGAAAATTTAGAAAAGCTACATAAAAAATGTTGAGCCTAAAATGATCAAATATGAAGGCAACAAATTTTTTCAAAATTGGAAGTAAATCTCTAATTTATTCAGGTTTTGGTGTATATGTGAATGATTCCACTGGGAAATATCCTTTTGAATGTCTTATAGGAAGTTTAAATGATTATTGGGAAAGAATAAAATATTCAATTCTTTAGCAATTCATTTGGTAATACTGGCATGATAAAACATCGATATATGTTTGGAAATATAAAATGAAATATTGGAAGAAGGGGACAGCTCCAGGGCATGGCGGTTAAGGCAGCCAGATCCCACATGGAGGACTACGTGGTTCAAGCCCTGGACCCTGTGGCTTAGGAAGCCTTGTATGTGTGTGTACATACCCACAGTACTGAGAGGGGGAAGAGAGAGAGGTGAAGGAACTGCAGCATTAACATTCCCCATGGGGGTCTGTCTGTGTGTGTATCTGAGGAAGTGAATGGGGAAACTTGCTACCTAGTTAAAGGTTACAGGGTAAATGGGTAAATAAAATTCTAAGGAAGCAACCCTCATGACTTACAAATGTTAGAGCAAATAAGTCACATCAGAGTTCAAAAGGGGGTTATCTGTGCAAATATTAGAAAAAATCAGGTACAAGATACATACAATAAGTTAAAAAATTTAAAGTATACTGTAGGGTCCAGGCGATGGCATAATGGCTACATCACTGAACTCCCATGTAGTCAACCGTGGTTCAAGTCCTGGACTCGGTGACTTAAACTCACACCGGGCACATGTGTGTGCGTGCCCAAGATCCTGAGAGGAGAATGGAGGAGGAGGGATTGCGGCGTGGCCATCCCCCCCGGGGGTGATTTCTCACTTTCTGTCTCTCTGTCTCTTGTCTTTCTGGCGAGCGCATGCGCCCTATAGCAAAAACCTCTCAATAAACAAAAAAAAGTACATTGTAGAAGGTAATACGTTCTAAATATACATATATAAATTCACAAGATACATGCACAGAAAGTGACAGGAAGGATAATCATTTTAAACAGAGATCATATCTGAAAGGGTGTGTAAACATTGAATAATGATTGTGTGTAGGAATACTTTCTGTTACTGTACATGATTCTTTTAAAAATTATATAATTATAATTATTTTGTAACAATTGTTAAGAAAACCTAATTTTTATTAGTAATTTTGAAATAGTAGTTTAAAAAATGAAAAGAGGAAATATTTAAGTCTGATGTCTTAACCTGGGCCCTAAAGGAAAAATTTCATCTATGTATGCTAGTTGTGTGATACAGTATAATTAAAGACAGTAACGAACATGACTTCTGTTAGGGTGATCAAAATGACTGATGTTCATTTAGAAAAGTAAATGGAAAGTGAAGGAATGGGGGTATTGAGGAAGAACTTGAACTTTAGACTTACTGAATATAGTGGAGGTCAAATGAAGATACTTCAGTAAGAGTGTTGACTCATAGTAGGTGCTTTATGAATAAATGGTATTGACAAAAAATTTTTTTCGGGGAGAGGTTTTTGCTGTAGGGTGCGTGTGCTCGCCAGAGAGACAGAGAGAGACGGAGAGAAAAGAAAGATAGAAATCACCCCCCAGGGGGGATGGCCACACCACAATCCTTCCTCCTCCATTCTCCTCTCGGGATCTTGGGCACGCACGCACATGCACCCAGTGTGAGTTTAAGCCACCGGGTCCAGGACTCAAACCATGGTTGACTACATGGGAGTCCAGCGACATCGTCATTATGCCAATTGCTGGTCCCCAGTATTGACACAATTTTTAAGTGACGATCAACCCATGTTTTGTTAGCAGTTTAATGGTGGGTAGAAAACAAATGAAGACAGACATCATTAACCGTAGGACAGAAGTAGCGTGATTAGGGTTGACACATGCAGATAATGATGGCAAAGGAGGAAGACGGTGTCGAGGACAATCAGTGAGATCACTGGGGCAGGCCCTTTATATGTTTTAGTTCTTCATTCTCTCACCAAATACACATGGAGTATGTAATACATGGGAGAGTTTACTCTGGGCCTTGGAGAGTCAGTGATAAATATTGTCATATTGACATGGTTTCTGTCCTCCCGAAGTATAGTGAAAAGGCATAGAAAATAAACACATAAACTGAAGACAAACGACCAGAGACTATTAGATGGTGTTAACTGCTGGAGAAAATCAGGTACTGACACAGGATGAAAGGAACGGAGATGTGGCTACATTACCTAGGGTAAGTGGGGGAGGCCCTTATAAAAAATACTTCAGTTACTCTTATCGTTTCTTTTTATATAGAAAGAAAGTACTCTTATTTCACAGAATAAAATGAAGCCAAGTGACACTCTGAAACGTATCCAGTGTCAGGCGGTTAGTGGGTTGTGAAGCTGGGATTTGAAGTCTCTAATGAGTTTCACAGTCCTACAGTCAACACTGCATCACAGGTGATGGACCGCACAACCACAACGATTTGACTGTTTTTACTGACTGCATGTGGGAGAAGAATAAATGAGGAAAGTCTCTCATATTTTGAACCTGGTAAATTGAAACAAAGATAACTATTTAATGGGAACGGCAACATTTAAAAAGGTTTTGGTAGAAAAGTGAACTTGGTCATGTTTGAGGTAAGATTGATGGAGAAGTATCGCTTAGGCAATGGAAAGTAAGAACTAAAATTCAGAAATAGTATTCTGGGCTAGAGGTGTAAATCCAGCAGTCATTTGCTTGAGGTCAAATGACTGAAGCTAAGCTCTCTGCAGAAAATTCAGGGATCAGATCAGTAGAGGCACAGTTTCATTTTGTGGGTAGAAAAGCAGTGGAACTGCCGAGGATAACAAAGGCTTGATCCTAAGAGGAAGGAGCAGACATTATTATTAGGTTAAGGGAAAAAAAAATATTGAAAAATGGAGAATTTTTGTCAAGGATCTAGAAAAATAGGCACTGAAACAAAAGTACAGTATATTAAAAGGCTTTGGATGGTAATGAAGTTGCATCTTGGAATTTAAATAGCTTGCCCGTGCTGGATGTGAAATTGTAAGGGGTTGATATGTGATTGACAACTATGTAACCTTTTCTAAGAAAATCTTGTACAAAGGAAAGAAACAGTCTTAACTGTAGGACATAGGATGAATGGAAGAACCATTTATTTAAGAGAGATGGTACTAACTTCAAAATTTCTTAACCTGAGGAAGATAAGTTTTGATTAAAAAGAAAAAGGGATTGAACATGTCAAAAATGAGGAAGTAACTGAAGAAAACATTGTGAGGGAAGTATGAATGGAAGATAGAGTAAAATGATAGAAGTACACCAAAATACTGACAGAAATTTTGTAGCTGTAGAAATTTAAATAAATCTGTTTGAATGACAAAAAAAAAAAAAATTAAACGGACATTACTGAACCAGCATAAAGCTGAAGACACCAATGTGAGGGGACTTCAGAAAGTTCGTGGGAAATGGGACTAAAGCAAAAGTTTATCTTGGTGAAAAAAAAAAATTTTGATGTTCACACACGGTTTTTTCATAATTCGTATTGTTCCACGAACTTTTTTGAAGATCCTGCATATTCTCAAGGAGACCTTTCCCCTTTTCTTAGACTTTTGAGTAAAGGGAAAACAAAAATTGATCAGAAAAACTTTGAAATTGCAAATGAGAGAACCAGCAGTTAGCCTAATGGCTATGTTGCTGGACTCCCACGTAGTCGACCGTGGTTTGCGTCCTGGACCCGGTGGCTTAAAACTCAGGCCGGGCGTGTGTGCGTGCGTGCCCAAGATCCAAGAGGAGAATGGGGGAGAAGGGATTGCGGTGTGGCCATCCCCCCAGGGGGTGATTTCTCGCTCTCTATCTCTCTGTCTCTCTCTGTCGGGCGAGTGCACACGCCCTATAGTGAAAAACCTCTCCAAAAAAAATAATAAAGAAATGGCAAATGAAGTTTTTAAAAATGATACATTTTACTTAGGAGTGGAGGACAGAAAAAAATAGTCACAATATGCTTTCTAAACATGTACTGTCATGTGTCCAGTGACATGTAACAGAGACGCGTCCTGAGAAGGCAGTGAGGCCCGGACATCGCTGTGTGAACATCGCAGCGCGTTAACTCACACACCCCTGGATGGTGCAGCCTCCTGTCTGTCTAGGCTGCTGATGTGGCCTGTTTTAGCGTTACGGAACCATGAGGGTATACACAGTCCGTCACTGACCAAAATGTCATTATGCTATGTGGTGTGTGACTGTGTGTGTGTGAGTCTGGGGTGCTCAGTGAGTGTGAGAGTGTGTGGGTGTGTGCGTACAACCAAAAAGGAGGCCAGACCTGTGGCCAAGTGGTGAAGGGAGCTGAATCCCATAGGGCTGATCGTAGTTCAAATCCTGCCCCAGCAATCTCAAAAACATGCCAGGCGTGGGTGCATGTGTGCGTAAGACCCCAACAGGAAGGAGAAATGGAGGACGCAGACTGCAGAGTGACCATGCCTTACTGGAGTACTTTCTTCCTCTCCTCCCCTCTCACTCGCTTCTTTTTTTTTTTCTCTGTCTGGCAAGTACAAGCACCTTCTGGTAATGGAAAAAAAATAAAAGAAAACAGCTAAAAGCCTGCAGAGAAAATATGAGTCTCAGCCTTCACCCCGTGCCATCCAAAAGATGGCACGCATGGATGACTCAAGGGTCTGCCTTTCTCCGTCCCCAGACAGAGGCTACCTACGGACAGAGAGGACTTACTGAGCTTTCTTCACTGTCCTACTGGGGACAATCGAATCCTTAGGCAGCCCCTTCCCTTGATACCTCTAATCTCGGCCTTTTACCTCAGTTTCCCGGCAGGTTGCCATTTTGGAAGGGAAGGTGTAGATGTAGTCACTGGGTTGACTCTGTTGTCAACCTAGCAGTTCATTTCTGCATGAATGAACATTCAGGTTGTCAGTAAATCATGATGTATTTGTCTATGCTTTTCTATGCAAAAATGCGTCATGACTTCCCCAACGACCTGATAATTTGCATTCATGAAAAACACCAAAGCCCTCTGCGTGAATTAGCTTGCCAAGTCTGTGTGGTTCATACCGTTACCATCTGGAAGGTGCTGCTCGCTTTCAGTTGAACCAGAGTCTGAAGACTGCTCTGGACTGAGCTCGCGGAAAGGCCTTTCCGGACTGTGTAGCAGCTGGTTCTCTCCACTCCTCTGCTCGCCTGGTCAGTACAAGAAACCACCACATTACACACTACGGAGGGTGAGCTCACCACCGAACCTCAGATGTTCCCTCATGAGAATTCCAGAATGACAATTAAACCAGCACATCTTTTAGCACAGTAGCAGATAACTACTGATCATCACCTTTCCACCTGGTCTCTGGGCCACACCTATATCTGACTCGTCTCTCTCTTTCCACTTAGCTCAGAGTCTTGCCCATGGTATGAACTCAATGGTGTTTGGGCCTGAGAAATCACAGAGGAGGGACCAGCAGATGGTACAATGGTTATGTTGCTGGTCTCCCATATAGTTGACCATGGTTCGAGTCCCTGACCTGGTGGCTTAAACCTCACACTAGGTGTATGTGCATGCGTGCCCAAGATCCCAAAAGGAGACTGGAGGTAAAGGGATTGCAGCATGGTCACCCCTTCAGAGGGTTATTTCTTGCTTTCTGTCTCTCTGGCAAGCACACACACCCTATAGCAAAAAAT